GGTCTGAAAGGATTATTACTAAGGTGCTAAGCATCTATCTATCAAAAGCTTCTGGATGACTGTCAAGAGAAGATAAATCACCTACAGGGATGAGGAATTCAATTAAGGAAAAAAGTGAACTTTTAGTTTAAGGGGGAGACGCAGACAAAACCCTACCATGATAACGCTGATCTTGAAGATGCCCAGAGGCCACATCACATGCGTGGGTTACAAAGAGTGACCTGTTGTCACCCTGCCAGCGGGGATCGGTTCAGAAGACCAGGGCTGACTGGGAGCTACCAGAGCTCCAGTTTGGTGCTGACAGTGCAGAAAGTGCCGCACATAATTGTGAAAATAAATATTTGGTATCGTAAGTATGAAAACAATTTCACGTACATTTTAATGTTCTGTTTCTCAGAAATGTCATAAATACTTAGAAGAACAAATGGGGGTCACTAAGCTGGAAGGTGGATTTTTTTTTCTGTGAAGTACTTCACACTAAAATGATATATATTTTGGTGGTACTGGGGGTTGAACCCAGGGATGCTGTACAGCTGAGCTACATCCCTAGCCATTTTTATTTCTTACTTTTTTCCTTTCCTTTCCCTTTCCCTTTTCCTTTCCCTTTCCTTTCCCTTTTCCTTTTTCCTTTCCTTTCCTCTCTTTTCCTTTCCTTTTTAAACTTTGAGATGAGTGCTAAACTGCACTTAGCAAATAGCAAAAATAGCAAAATTGCAATTTTGCTAAATTGCCCAAGCTGGCCTTACACTCACAATGCTCCTGCCTCAACCTCTGCAGTAGCCTTTGTGCACTGCCACTCCTGGCCTTGTGGCATTCTGCTTTATACAGTTACTCGACATGAGTGTGGATGGCACATCTATATTTATGTACCACAGACTCAGCGCATCCCTGTGGAACAATGGAGAAACAGAGACTGGGTGGAACTACGTGGGGGTTGAATGACTGCTGGTGGTGTCTACTGATGTCTAGTAAGGTTGAATGACTCTTCCCTAGGCCTTCTATAGTATAAATTGTTGGTAACTTTGAACAAATGGAAGCCTTTCTTATAATATTTTTGGTTGTAAAAAGGAGTGTGGATCAAATCCTGATCAACTCAGTAGCTCTAAACATTTTTGCAAGGTGGGATGATACAGTGAATCCAGTAAGGATATTTTGTGAGTGATAAACATCAGGTCCTGAACCTGAATGTATGAAGGTAGCTTATTCAGGTAAGCTAGTTCTTAGTGTCTAACTATTCCTAATGCTTTCCTAAGCCTCACTGCACGTAAAACGGGGCTGATTTTTTCCCACTGATAAGGCCTAGGCACAGTGCTGCTATATCCTAGGTACTCAGTCAATGCTACTTACTATTTTTCTAGAAATCTTGGAAGAGAATTCAAGTTTTGCAGTTATGAGTTGTTTGGCCACGGGTAAGGTATTTACCCTTTTAAAGCTTCATTTTCCTCATTTGAAACGGACAGAAATCATACCTACCTATCTTATAGGTGTCCCACAGAGTAAATGAGACAATATGTGTGAGGCCACCTTCGAGCTCCTGGACAGCCAGTGCGTAATGTCAATTATACCGAGCACTATGGTGTGATTTACAGAAAACTCACGTTGATAATAAGCTGTGGTGACAGAATTAGAACCTCTGTAGAAGGAAGGAAATTGCCCATCTACTCTACTGTCTTACAGACTCAAGCAGTGCTGGTAAATCCATGTAAATGTAATTTTAAGAGGGATGTTGGGAAATTGAGGTGCACACAAAATCAAATCATGAAAAATGAAGCAAGATAAAATGTTTATCCTAGAGAAAGGTGCTCTAAAGGATCATTGTGGAGAAAGGCTTGCCCTGTGTGGGCCCTAGAGTTAGAGTTTTGCTAACAGAGGACAGATTTTGGGCTCTTTGGAAGAAACATTTTTACAGGGCAGAATAACATGGCTAACCCAGTACAATTAGTTTACTACGAGAGTTGTCCAAAGGTAGGGTGGCTGCCCCCAAAGGCAGTAGCTTCTCAGTAACTGAGACTTTTTTAGGGCTAAAGTCATTTGAGAGAACTGCAGAGAGGATTTAGGAATTTGAGATAGGATCTGCGCAGTGAACTTTAAAGGCCAATCCTTCTCTGAGGTTCTGTGGTTCTGTAGCTGTTGACTTCCTTTCAGTGCTTAGCATTTAAAACCTTTAAAAAAGCTTGTATCTAGTCACCTAGTTTGTATTTCAGATTATTTGCCTAAAGCATTCCACACTGAGTGAGAATTATGCATTCCTGAACTTTAAGAGCTGAAACTTATTTCCTTTACCACTCTTGTCTGAGATATCTGGGGGAATGGATTTGGAGAATCTGTGCATGCCAATCATACTTTCATTTCTTTTAAAAGAGGAATGTTGATAAAATGGCTCAAGAATTGTCAGGTAGAGGTTTCTAATGGCCTGCAGCGCTGCTGTCCCCAGTAAGGTCAATATTGGTTAACAGGTATGTACATATGGGGTATATGGTTCACAAAGAAGCATGCATTACAAGATATTCTTTGAACAAAATGTCTCACAGGAAAAATTGTATTGACATTTTCTATCTCATTCAGCACAACATTCTGCTTCCAAGTGATTTTTTTCCTTGCTTTTTAGTTCATGCTTCCTAGCCTTAGAATTATGTTGTAAAAAACTCAAGGCCAGCTCTCTGCTTCTATACAGATTAACAAATAAATCATGAGTGATCCTAAAAGACATTGGAGAATGGGGCTGCCTCAAGGGTTCAATCTGGTGTACTTTGGAAGACATAGACATGATACTGATCTATAGCAATTTATTAGTAGTTAAGGGCTTGGCTGTATTGTGAAGGTGTCGGCAGTATTAGGATTGTAGGTTTTCTGACAAGAAGAACTGGAGAGAATGGTGAATGAATCTCCTGAGATGGTCCTACTACGTGAGAATATTAATGTCCCATGTAAATTTTCACCAAATCTTGAATAACAAAAGGAACCAAATGATCCAACATGTTGATGGCGACCAGCTTCTTTCTCTGGTGACCTCACAGTGTCAATGAGCTCATAAACAATGAATGGTTCATTAGCAGTGGAACATTAGGTTGCAAATCACTCAACAAAAAGGTTTCCTGGCCTCTCTCTAAGGCTGTCCTGGCTACTACCACTCCGGAATGCTTAGTCTACCAGCAGTAGAGGCCAGTAATGAACCCCCAGTAGTGAATGCTTAATGAGGGGATGAGCCTTTCTTCTGGTTGATTATATTGTGTTCTCTCCATTAAAGAATGAACAGCATTTTGTCTTCACTGCAATAAACATGTGATTGTGATGATTTGGAGGCCACAATGCTAACTTACACTGTGTTAACAAATGTCCTGCTTACATTATGCCCTCTCACACAATACTGGCTTTAATCAAGAAGCTCATTTTATAGTAATAGGGTCAGTCTCTTGGTATTGACAGGTATTTCTATAAAACCTTCACTCAGAAGCAGTTGGTTCACGCATAGCAGAATGATTTAGGGAAGGCTTATTTACTTTGTCAGCTGGGAAACATCTGACATTGAGGTGGCATTCTTTAGAATAAAATATATTCTCTGAATTTGCCCTGGCTGAGGGTCGGGGCTCGGGAGAGACATGTGGAACAGCCCACTGGAGGAGTTTCGTGGACTTTGACAAGATGAACCAGGACACCAACTCAGCCTTTCCTTACATGAGCTGTTTCCTGTACATACTTGGAATCATCCCTTTTGTTCCTTTCATTCATTTATCCTATTTGTTACCCAGTCTTTTTCCTGGCCCCGCCCCGCTCCGTGCCCCGCCCACTACTCGTCCCGCCCACTACTCATCCCGCCCACTACCATGCCCATCACCTCGGTCCCGCCTCTATACGCGGCCCGGTCCCGCCCCCTCCCCGCCCTTTACTTACCCTGCTCCACTGGTTGGTCGCGCCGCCACCGGCCTCCGCCCCGCCCATCCCCGCCCACCACAGGCTCCGCCCCGGCCCGGTCGAGCACCCTGAAGGCGTTCCCTTCGCTCCTCCCCGCCCAGGCCCCGCCCCTCGTAGGCCCCGCCCCTCGTAGGCCCCGCCCCGACGTGACGGAGCCCGCTGGCAGCGCCCGCAGAGC